CCACGATCGCCTCCACGACCTCTATCACCGCCTCGGCCTCGGAAATCTCCACGATTTCCATCGCCTCTACCGGCTGGGCGGAAGGCTAAATCACCACGACTGTCCCCGCGACCACGGCCTCGATCGGAACCGCGACCTCGATCACCACGGCCACGGCCACGGTCACCCCCACGATCACCACGTCCACGACCCCGATTGTCACTCATAATAAGATAAACTTGGATGAAGATGACTTTACGGGTTTGAGGATGTCAAAATAAAAAGGAAAGACGGTGGGGATTGGCGGGAATGGGGATTGACGGCTTATTAAGTATTTGGAGTGGACGTACTTATCGTTTGTACATCTACCAGTTCTTTGTTTGCTGCGCTGGCCCCAAGTAGCAGGGGTATAGTGTGAAGATAGGTGACAATTGGATACATCGATGCAAGTACCCAGAGGCAGCTGTAGAATGATGTGGCTATGACACTTCCTCACTTCACGATTCTCTATCATCATCGGTTTAGTATATACAGGATTGCTATATAGTATATAGTTATTGTGACTCTTCACAGCTTTCCTACTACTCAGAAAAAGAAAAAAAAGCACATATATCTATTACTGTGACTGTCCGTAGTCCATGCGGTCAACTGGTAGATATAGGGATATAGCGGTGTACTTCTAGTCTATGTTTCAGTTATATGTATACTTCCGTTGGCTGCTGTAGCTCTGCGTGTACACGGGTTCAAGTAGTATGTTGTATATGGGCTATGTAAAGACATTATGAATTCGGGGATTCGGCATATCCAATGATTTCAGCCCAGTTCAGCTGCGCCTTGCCCTAAAGGGAAAGGCGGGCCTGGATAGGTCAGTTGCATGTTGCAGCCTAAATATGCGCAGATGGTGTGGTTGGTGTTGAGCGTGTATTTTCTCTGCTCTTTATTCTTGGATCCCTGATATTGAATCTATAGGATAATAACTAGTGCCACACCTGTTGTTATATCAGAAGCATAATACTCTATTTAGGGCTACGATACAAGAAAGACACCGCCGCATCTTTAACTAAATGATAGGCGCCGCCTGCAAAGCTAGTCAGAAACAAAATTATATATCCCAAAAGAAGTATCACGTCAGCATTTCATAAAAGCTTACTTCCTTTTTAAACCTGACAATAGTCCAGAAAGAAGAATTCTCTGTTGTTGAACTGCATGAGAAATTCCATTCTACAAAGTATAGCGACCCCAAGTTTCAATACCGGAGCTAAACGATGACGGATGGCAAATCATACTATAATCTCTTTCGGAGTAAAGATCGTCTTGAAGTTGTGTTGACGTACAAACCATGCATTCCACAGCTTCCATTCTTGGTTAGGGTGTGCTAGCTGTACCTATCAAGAACTCAGCATCACTGGTCTCTGCCTCAGAAAAAGAACATACCTCAAATCGCCGCAAAAAGCTAGGTATAATCTTATAGATCTCCATTAGAGAGATATTCTTCCCAATGCAGGTCCTCGAACCGGCACCAAACTGGAGCATCATTCCATCCATAACCTTCAATTGATCCGGTGGAGTAGTAAGCCATCGATCAGGGTTGTATATATCGCAATCTGGACCAAAGATGTCTGTCCGGCGATGAATAACCCAGGCGCTGCAGCCAACGATTGTTCCGCCGCGAATGAAATGCCCGGAGATCTCTACCCCCGACGCAGGAACAATGCGTTCTAAAGGAAGTCCCGCAGCAGGATGCATACGGAAAGCTTCCTTTATACAGGCATCGAGATAGGGCAGCTGCCGCGACTCTGTCCATGAGACAAGTCCTGTTGGACGATTCACGATGATACCGTTGTCAACAGCGTCGTCCAGCTCTTGCCTAACCCGTGTCATGCATTCTGGGTTCTTAAGTAAATAATAGAACACGGCCGCAATGCTGATGGCGGTTGTTTCAGACCCAGCAAAGGCCATAGAGACAGCCATGGTAAGGATCCGTTTGTTCGTCATGAAATCTGGACGAAGTTCACCCGCCTTGAGGAACATGGTGAGAAGATCATCCTTTGATCCCGGGTCTGTTACGCCAGCTTTTGCTGACATACGTTCTTCCATGCGGTGTTTTGCGAAGATGGCCACAGGGTGCGAATTATCTGATAAGCCCAATTTTTGAAGGAAGTCAAATATCGGATTCTTCCAAAATAGCTTATCTAGCCACGGCATCTGACCAACAGGGGCAGAATAATCGAAGATATTTGCCAGAGAATTAATGATGCCATCGATGTCTTCGTTTTTCTCAACGAACCCGTGCCGTTTGCTATACGTGATGCTTCCAATAACGTCAAAGGCGAAGAATTGCAGCCATCGTGCGAAATCGCACACTGTGGCTCCAGCAAAGAGTCGGTCCGTTTGGTCGAGGAAAATTTCCATAGTCTCATCGACCATTGGTTCATACTGTACTAAAGAGCTCATTGAGAACGCATGATTGACAGACCGGCGGAGATTCGCATGGAAGCTCTCATCCAGAGTAGAGAACAGCGATGGCAATGGCTCGCCTTTAGAAACAGTCATTTGTACTGGGTAAAACTCGGACTGTTCTCTTGATTAGAAGCTGTAGATGTTTCTGGGTTCGGCATGACACTACTCTACCTTGGTGAATCCTTTGTTTAGACCGTAGATCACCTTCGCTGCCTTTGGATCTGCGAAAGACAAAGTGCGTGGCCCAAGGCGCACAATATCGCCATACTTGCGATGCAAGGTTATATGCGTAAGCTCAGGACGTCGACCCTTCACATCGATATACCGCCAAATATCAGTCAGGTGCGCCCAGAAAGGGCCAGGAAAGAGGTTTAGCGAATTGTAGAAATAATTATGGGCAAGGTAAAGTAGGGGTAGAAGAGGAACTGCATAGAAAATATAGTGAAATGCAGCATCAGGGAAAACCGCTGTAATGATAGCCATAGTTGTGTCCGATTGTTTAGATCTAGTTCAAAATAGAAGCCACGAGGAGGGCACGTTATATACAGAATCACATCACACGATATACGTAATCTTCCCCGCTAGAAAGAAAAGAAGTCAGCATCTGAAGATGCTTTGGCGTACACAAAGACGCTGCGATCGGCAGTTGTGCATGTTAGGATCCGATGAACGATGGTGGTTGGTAGGAATGAGAGGTATCTCGACCAACAAGCAGTACCCTATACAAAGTGCAAGCTATTCATTCGTTAAACCCCGCAATATGGGTCCGTTAGACCGTACCCAGGCCATTCCCCATATTAGTGCATGCCTAGTATACCCCTTCTTTGAGTGCAGCCCGTGCGTCGGCATCTGAGACGACGTTCAACAACCGAGGACCCTTCGCAGCGTAACAAGGTTAAACTTGTCTCTCGATACTAAAAATATAGAGTCATACCATAGTTAGCTTAAGCTCTTATACATAAGTCACATAAGTCACCAGACATACATCGTCCGGAATCGACCAACTTGCCCTACCAAAGAATATAGAAGTGGGCCTTTCTAGTCATTTGCTAAACAAGCCCCGAAGTTATTAATATCCATAGGCTCCATACAACAAAGCCAAATGTCCAAGCTCAACAATTTAAAAGCTCACCAAGTCGCTGAAAGTGGAAGAAAGCCAGTAAGATGTCCATGGGAGCAGATACGATCGATCAAGATAATGGTTCGTTTTCCAACCCACCTGTTCCTTTAGACATAAAGGATGAAAAAGGGATGGATATAATACCGACATCTTCCTGGATGAATACTATATATGGTTGCGGAGGGAAATGACACCGAGTTTGTCTATACAAAGTATATGAATTGTGCACGAGAAATGTGTATTTGACATAATTCAGGGTTACTTAATCAGAGTTGTACATGCACTACGTAAAGAATACACAGCGATAAAACGAGGAGTAAACCTAAATAAACTAAACTAACACCTCTTTTTAAGCTTAAACTCGGAATATACGAACAAGTACCATAATGTCGAAGTCAGTCTACATAGTGTGAGTCGAACCTCCAACCTAGACATCAGTCTAGATCCGACTCACAAGGTCTTGAATAGACCAGCTTGCTAGAATTCGAGACATGCATGTCTGGTTGAATTCTGCCTATGAGTCACTGATCGTCGTATTGCTAGCCAATCGGCATCAAGTCTAGGAAAATAGAGAAGGAATGAATATGATATCGGGGTTAAGTATCGACTGGATCAGCCTTCACAAGAGGGAAGAAGGTATTCATGTATCGAACCGAAGATAATAGACTATTTCACAATATATACGGAGTGCGGATACTCCGTCCTCTCTATGTACTTGCAGGAGGTGAGATCATCTGGTGATAAGAAAAATCGCCCGGAGATAACGGATTAATCATCATTTCGTCGGGGCCTCGTCCACGGGTGTCTACCTAGCTTCATTTCCTTATGATCACCTCTTTGTTGCTATCGTTGACTCGAGAAGGATCCTTGATCGCACTTGAATCAAAATTTCTCTATAGTCTTCCGAATCTGCCTTTGGCCTCCCGACCACACTTATCCACGCGGCACCGAACACCCCCTCCTTCGGCCATCGCACATCGCAAGCTTCGACAACGCACATCCGTTCGTCGCATTGCCCCGCTATCTGTCTAGTGATACTGTGCGGCTTAGTTAACCCCTGACCGCCCGAAATAGTCGCGTACAACATCTACCACATCTCAAGTTCTGGGTCTGGCACGGCTGCCTACAACACGAGCCAAATCTGGCATTGACGTTGCGCCTAACTGTACATACGTTTCTACGACTAGGGAAGGAAACAAAATCGCGTTCGGAACCCCGCGCAGATATTCAGAAGTGGGCTTGCAATCAGACTGAGAAAGTTGTTTGGATGCAGAACAACCGAGTAGCATATTTGATTCGATCCTAGAGCTGTGCGGACTGCCACAACGTGCTTGAGAGCCCCGCCCGGCTGGAACGTTGGATTGACGTGCACTGCATCATCCGCGGTTTACCGTCGATATTGCAACGATTCGGTTACCCATACATGATCATGCCATTCAAAATGACCCCAACACCCCCTTCTACAAATTCCTCGAGTGCTGGCCACTCTCCAGATTACAGAGTTGTCCGGAAACGAAACCGAGTACCTTTGTCATGTGGGCCTTGTCGACACAGAAAGTAAGTATTCAAGACATGGCTGAAATACCTTTTTTTTTTACTAACGGTTCTAGGCTGAAATGCAATCGTACGAATCCTTGCGAAAACTGTGTCAAACGAGGAGATGCTGCTTCATGTAACTACGCGCAACCCAACTCGCGCAAGAAGAACTCGTCCCAGCAGTCATCCACTACACCGGATGATATGCAAAACCGCATCGATCGGTTAGAAGGCTTAGTTCTTTCGTTGATGACAAATGGCTCTCAGTCTGCGGGTCCATCTGCTGCCATGGCGGCGATCTCCGGGGAAAATAGTGTGGGCTCGACTCGGTTCTCCCATGATCTCGATATCGAAGAGGAGGGCGCCGAAGAGAGCGACACGGACCAGGTGACGAAGTCGTTTGGTATTATGAAGATGGATAATAACAAGTCTTATTACATCAGTGATGCTCATTGGGCGTCTGTATTAAACGATGTAAGTCTGGGAGGTTTGACCAAACTCGAGTCTTTCTAACTCATCGAATAGATCTCCGAGGTGCGAAGTTTCTTCACAACGCACAAGAAGCAACTTGATGAGCAATTTGAAAAAGTCAAAGCGGCCCGACCATCTACTGATTCATCAGGCTCGACTTTGTTGTTTGGTATCAATAAGCCGATGAGCCGTAGCGAGATCATGACTGGCTTGCCGTCTAAGTATACAACTGACATTCTTATTGCTCGCTATTTCAATTGCTATGACCCTGCAACCCGTGAGTATTTGCTATCTCCGTAGCCTGTGGTCTTGATCCTGACTTTACCTAGATGTTCTCCATGGACCCACATTCCAAGCACAGGTAAGCTCCTCGAGAACAATTTCGTTGATTCCAGAATCTGACTCTGCTAGTATAACAAACATTGGGATGATCCTGCCGCGACCGAACTAGTCTGGATTGCCATGCTCTTTGCAATGATGAGGCTGGCAATGCTATCTTACCACCGCGAAGGCGATGAGCCACCTGAATTCCGGGGCAAGTCCATGGACATGGCTGGGGGATTCCGGAATTCTGTAGCACAGTGCTTGACATTGGCTGACTACACGAAACCCCACCCGTTCTTGATTGAAGCGCTCGTGTTTCATTTGCATGGCGATTTCTCCCAGACCCGAGAGGCGGATATTTCGATCTGGGTCATGACCGGCGTTGTTGTTCGCCTAGCAATGCGATCAGGATATCACCGTGACTCCAAAATGTTCCCAAATATCACACCTTTCCAGGGTGAGATGCGACGGCGAGTGTGGACCTTTGTGCGCCAAGCCGACCTTCTGTTCTCGTACCAGGTCGGGTTGCCGGGGATGATCCGGAGTACAGATAGCGATACTGAGCTACCACGGAATTTGTACGATGATGATTTCGATGAAGACTGCAAGGAGCTCCCGCCGCCACGTCAATTGAATGAGCCAACCCCAATCTCATATATGATTGCTAAGGCGCGCCTGTCATATGCATTCGGACGTGTGGTTGAACAAAGCTCTGCTGTATCGGCGGCCCCATACGAAAAAGTGATGGAAGCCGACGCGGAACTCCGACAGGCAAGGGACATGATCCCCGAGCACTTGCATATTCGGCCTATGGAGGAGTGCCAGTTGGATCCTATTAGTGTTATCATGTCGCGATTTTTCGTAAGTTGTCTGACAGCGGCCACAATTCGCATCAACACTAACCGTTTGTGCAGGTAATGGCCTTATACAACAAAGCTCAGTGTGTGCTTCATCGCCCATATCTGGTTCGCGCCCGAGAAAATCCTCGTTTCACCTATTCTCGAAGGACATGTATCGACTCAGCAATGGAGTTATTGCAAGTCCAGGCGCTCCTGCACGCGGAAACTCACAGCGGGCGCCTCCGTGGTCGTCAGAGCCGAATAAGTTCCCTCAGTTCAGCCGACTTCTTACTGGCAGCCACCATTGTTAGTCTCGACCTATACCACGGCCTATCATTGCAGGTGACCGGCCGGCCATCGGGAGACACATACACATGGGGCCGAGAGCGGCGCGATGAAATGATCGCCGCGATCCAACTCTCGAAAGATATTTGGGATGAGTCGCGTGATGAGAGCATGGAAGCATGGAAGGCGTCTAGCCTTCTCGGTGTGATGCTCAGCAAGCTGCACATGTCGGTCCCAGGCCTTGAAAATAGCGCCGGAGCTTCATTTGAGCCACAAGACGAGAAGCAGAACGCGGCCATGACCCTCGGCCTGTTGAGCAGCGGAATGAGCCCGATGAACCCGGGCCCTCCGCCCTTTGCTGACCCTATGTTCAAGATGGGAGATACACCAATGGGAACAGGAATAGGTGGCGTGGGCGCTTCGGCCGAAATGCCGGGTGTACTTTCGCCCTTTAGTAGCATGTTCGGGCAAATGCCGGACACGCAAGTTAATCTGGATTGGGTAAGTCTTTTCCTTTTCGGGATCCGGTGTTCAATGTTGACATGTTGATATCAGGATGCTTGGGACACATACATTCAAAACCCAGCCCTCGACACAACAAATCAATTCTGGCCTATGATTGATGCACAGCGCCAAGCAACCCCACAGTCTGGAGGCATGTCACAGCCTTCAGTGTCTAGTCCTCTAGCCTCAGGGCGGGTACCATCAGTTAGTGGTATTCCTCGGCCGACGTTATACTCAGTATCCTCCAACAGTCCCGATAGTGGAGTTGTGCCAGTAACAGGATACGGCATGGCGCCCATGCCTCAACAAAACGATAGTCGGGGCCAAGGTTCCCAATGAACGAGTTGTATTGGTATTCTGCATGATTTTTTCTCTCCCCTTTTTGCCAGAAAATGTTGGCCATTTGTGATACCTGGAAATGTTTTGTTTCTTCATCGGATGACTTGAAGTAACGAAGCAATTTCTACTTCTTCTTTCCCATGGATATGTATGCGTGCTGGCGAGATTCAGCCGATCTGAGAAAATATGTTGCGTTTATGGATTCTGTCGGTGTTGGGGTTGGACAATGTATCATACTATGAGGCTACTGCCATATTTCCACTCTTGAGTTATCAAATCTCACGTTTAATTCGTGTTTTATCACCCAAACCCTGAGTATTGTCTATATAAAATCTCCAATCCACTGCTTTCTATTGCTTTGATCTACCTCCTTATCATTGGCTATATCAGTCACGTGCCGGGGGTTATCTGCCGGGAAAAAAGTTATCTGGCTTCGCGCAATTCTTCTCTTGTCAACATATTATCTCTAATACAAGATCAACGCATCCTGTGTTATTTTAATTCAAAATGTGAGCTATTACTGAATACAGAGTCCGAGTCCGAGAATGTACACATTATGTACTCGCTGATGCATGCAACATTGAGGACAATTGCTAAAACAACTAATTTCTAGGCATTGCTTCCGCCGGGCCGTTTCTCGGCTTCAATTGTCCCCAGCTGCTTCACGCTCATCAATCAGCAGCGCAGTGTTGCGTTCAACATGCTCCACTCCGATTCTCGCCGCTCGGTTCGCCTACCCAACCCTCACACAGACACGGTTAAACTCGACCGATGAAGGCCGTTCACGGATTCCGATTAGGTATATCTCGACTGTCAAACCGGAGCCATCCACGCCGGGCCAAGTCCGTGTGCCCAAAGAAGAACGCCGACGTGAGTATTTGAGCGAGGGCCCTGTACCGAAGACCACCGTGTACGTCGGCAACCTCTTCTTCGACGTGACCGCGGAGGACTTGCGCAAGCATTTCGAGAAATTCGGTGCCGTGGAGAATGCACTGATCGTGCACGATGTCCGCGGGCTGAGCAAAGGGTGAGTTCCCAAGACCGATGCAGCCGAAAGCCTACTAGAGACTGACCCATTCTCCCTTACAGTTTCGGCTACGTTACCTTCAGCACCATCGAGGAAGCCACGCAAGCAATCACGCAACAGCACGGAGGTATCCTGGAAGGCCGCGAGGTGGTGGTGCAGTTCTCCAACACGACGTACAGATCCATGGCCGAATCCAAGCCTACCAGGACCCTCTACATCGGCAACGTTCCCTACGAATTGACCGACCAGGATCTGCAGGATATGTTCGAGGATATTCCCGGTGTCACTGATGTCCGTATCCCCATCGACCGTCGCACTGGCTTGCCCCGTGGATTCGGACACATTGACTTTGCCGATCAGGCCAGCGCTTCTCACGCTAAGGAGGTTCTCTCCCGCAAGGCGCCTTACGGCCGCAAGCTGACTGTCAGCTTTGCTAAGCGCAAGGTCTTGAGTCCTGAGGAGCACCAGCGTAACCAGGAGAAGAGGCTGCAGAATAAGAAGAACTCCCTCAAGCAACACTTGGATGCTCAGACCAATATCGAGTCAGTCTCGGGTATGAGAAATCGGAAAGTGCGCGGAGTGAAGGAGGTTGCGGAAGTTACTGAGATCAAGGAGACTGAGCCGGTAACCGAGCAGGTAACTGAACAGGTGACTGAACAGGTAACTGAGCAGGTAACCGAGCAGACCGAGACCGAGAAGAAGCAATAGAGAGGGTTATATGTGAATTATACAAATGTACAATAGTGTCCCAAAATGGCAATCGGAAGCATTCTTAACTCGCGATATTTATTAAGTACTCCGTAGAATGATCATATCTACACGTACTATTGCCGTAACTAAGTGTCATATCCAATCCCATGGAATACACTTGACGATTGCTGTCGCAGTTCACGAGAGGATCTTTTGATTGCCTGGTTTTCAGCCGACGATCAACTTCGACTGATGAGACATTCGCTGAACTCGGCACAACACATCACCGCCAGCTGGGCAGGAACTAGAAATCTCCTTGGCAGTATCCTTGCACCTCTTGTAGGCTTCATGTTGTGTTGGCAGCTTCTTTATCTGACCTGCAGAGGCTCAGTTTGGCACTCTCTCTATTTGCTCATCTTGCAGAAGATGCTTCTCCTGGTTTCCAGAGGAGAAGATCTTTATGTCTTTGTCGACATGAAACTATTAGAAGAGCTTATGGAAATAGCTAGATTATCATCTTGTTTTGGACATCTAGAATATATATCAGCTCCGATGGCTCACACTCGACTATCTCATTGACTTGTCTAGACTTACCATCGATAGCGTAAAATGTAGATGCTAATGTCGACGGCAGATATGTGCAACAAGCTTCATGCATAGCTTCGATCTCATCGACGCGGTCTTGAATGAATTGCCGATTCGCGGACTCCATTTTGATGCGAAAGCGCTCCACGGCCAGACGCATGGTATCGCCGGGGTTGTCTGATTGTGTGCCGCTCGACATGGTCAGTGTTGAAAGATGGATGTCAGCGGGAAGAACCTCAGGGAAATGAGGTTCATATCTTAGCGTGAAAATTCCAAGTGCTGCCTAGAATTTTGCATAATTTCTAGGTAAATGCCCTCTGTATTCGCCCTAAAGCTTAGAGGATCGCCTATCAGGCAGGGCTGTCGGTGCCTCTGCTGCCCTCTTCAATGTATAGATCTAGGATCTAGTTTTCAGTACTAAATCTTTCTGCAAAGCCTTAATATCACCTATAGTAATATACTTCGTACAATATTCTGGTCTGTTTGAATAATGTTTTAGTTTAGGCTTAGGGGTTTATAAGGGCTGTATTTTGGATCCTACGGCCAAATGCATCAATGAAGACGCCCTAGCTAGCCTTTTTTTTTTTTTTAAGGTTTTACCATGTGATGGATTCGTGTATATAACTTGCAAATTAGATCTTATCGTTTGAAAACACCATGATGTTCAATATTTAGGACAAGTGACAGGTGGGAAAGATCCGGAGACGAGAGCTGTATCTGCAAACTTGCATATCTGACGCCTTGGCGCACCAGTTAACCTCTGTCGACAACGATGAATGGTATCGAATAAGCCCAAAGTCGCATTCTGGTATATTCTGCAAATTTTCATATACAACTGTTGTATGTACCTGGTACCTCGTGAATCTCGTGACTCTCAAACTGCCGTCGGGGAACCTCGGCTGAGGAGGCGGAAAGCCCTTGAGCCCCACGTCGAACGATATCCGGGGGAATGCACCTCGACCTTTACATTGTCCTCGCTTCTCTTCCTAATTTCCATTAATACTACCTCGTTCTTAAACCGCCACATACCCATCATGTCGTTCCTCGGTGGCGCAGAGTGCTCTACTGCGGGTAACCCGCTCTCACAATTCACGAAGCACGTCCAGGATGATAAATCACTACAGCGCGACCGACTGGTAGGCCGGGGACCAGGCATGCAAGAAGGCATGCGCTCACACAGCATGATGGGCGGACAGGATCAGGTGAGCCACCCAGCCCACAGCCCCCCGCAAAGGAAACAGCAACGGAAAATTAATCTCGGAGTTGGGAACCTCCTTATCAGATGATGGACGATTTCATGCAACAACCAGGACAACAACTAAACGGACCCTCACCGCAGCCGTTCGCAATGGAGCACATGCGCCGCGAGCTGGATAAGTTCCAAACAGGCCCGGCCCGCACAGGGTCGCCAGGGTGGGCAGGGGAGTTTGACTCGGGCGAGCAAGCGCGCATGGAAGCCGCCTTCCCGGGCCAGATGAAGAACGGATCGGGGTTTAGTCCTGCCGAGTTTACACGATTCCAACAGCAGAGCCGTATGGGCATGCCACAGACCTCCAGCCCTGCTGCCGCGAACGCATCGCCTATGATGGCGGGGTATCAGCGGCCGATGGCGATGGGCGGTGGTTATATGGGTGGTATGGGTATGGGCGGTATGGGGATGATGCAGCCTATGATGGGTGGGCAGATGGGCATGCAGCAGGGGCCTATGGAGGGGCAGACACAGGATAAGGGGAAGGGGCGGATGGTGGAGCTCGACGATGAGAACTGGGAGGCTCAGTTTGCTGAAATGGAGACTGCGACGGTGGGAAATGAGACCCGGACAGACGAAGAGGCTAATGCGGCGATGGAGGCGGAACTGAATGATTTGGACAGGTCAGTGCCCTTCAATGACGTTTTTGAGTCTGTATGGCAACGGGTCCAGGCTGAGACCACGAGCAGAAAACTTGCCGAGGAAGATAATTTTGAAGTCACCGATAACGTGCATGTTGGTGATCTCGGTGACTGGGATGGCTTTGATAGTCTCAACTCTCGTTTCCGAGATCCCCAGCTCGGCGACTATATGTTCGAGGAGGATAATGTCTACCAGGCTGTCGGCAATCCGTTCGAGGAGGGAATGAAAATTATGCGTGACGGCGGTAATCTGTCGCTAGCAGCGCTGGCTTTTGAGGCAGCGGTTCAGAAGGACCCACAGCACGTGCAAGCGTGGACGATGCTGGGCTCTGCGCAGGCGCAGAATGAAAAGGAGTTGCCCGCTATCCGTGCATTGGAACAAGCCCTAAAGGTCGACCCCGGGAATTTAGATGCCTTGATGGGCTTGGCTGTCTCGTATACAAATGAGGGCTACGACTCAACCGCCTACCGCACACTCGAGCGTTGGCTGTCCCACAAGTACCCCACAATCATCGACCCGAAGGAGGTATCCGGCGATTCAGACCTCGGCTTCACAGACCGTCAACTCCTCCACGACCGCGTAACAGAACTATTCATCCAAGCGGCCCAGCTCTCCCCGTCAGGAGCCCAGATGGACCCCGACGTACAAGTCGGACTGGGCGTTCTTTTCTACTGCGCCGAGGAATACGAAAAGGCCGTCGACTGTTTCTCCGCCGCCCTAGCCTCCACCGAGTCCGGAAGCACCAACCAACAAGAGCAGCTTCACCTCCTCTGGAACCGACTCGGTGCGACCCTCGCCAACTCCGGGCGCTCGGAAGAAGCCATCGAAGCCTACGAGCAAGCCCTCAACATTAATCCCAATTTCGTGCGCGCCCGCTACAACCTAGGCGTATCCTGCATCAACATCGGCTGCTACCCAGAAGCCGCACAGCACCTGCTAGGTGCACTATCCATGCACCGCGTTGTGGAGCAGGAGGGCCGCGAGCGAGCACGCGAGATCATCAGCGACGGTGTACATCCGGATGGCCTGGACGACGAGCGCCTCGAGCGCATGTTGCACATCAGCCAGAATCAGAGCACGAATCTATACGACACGCTGCGTCGTGTGTTCAGCCAGATGGGCCGCCGTGACTTGGCTGACCAGGTCGTCGCCGGCATGGACGTTAACATCTTCCGCAAGGAGTTTGAGTTCTAGGTTCTTGTTGATTGTGATATGGTCGTTGCGTATATGAAGGGTATGGGATATGTTTTTATTTCTGGCTGACAAGGCCTGGCTGCATTGTATCTACTTTTTATCATTGATGGCTGCTTAGATGGAATCTCCAAGCCATGGAGGAAAAAGCATTTCCTCATATATATGTTTCATGAACGCATTGTTTCCTATTTTGAATTTGCCCTAGTATAGTTTGTCTCCGTATGGATGAAAGAGAGTCGAATTCATCGACCTTCCCAACCGCTACGGCCTTTTCCTCTCCAAATGGACCTCGATGCACAAGGTCGATAACATCCAATAAGAAGCAGAATCCGCATCATGTCTCTAAAAGACGACCCACACTGCAAGTAATTCAAAGCATCCGACTCATTCCTAACAGAATGTCCCTCCCACTCATCATTATCCTCACTTCCAATAGAATAAGACCCCGATCTGTCCTCGCAACAGGCACAGTTACAGCCGCGTAGTCCAGCAGATTCCACATGGACGTGTAGCCCAACCACGGCTTGCTTTTCACCTATGTCTCGGGCTTGTAGCCTACCCACGGGAGAACAGACATGAGGAGAGCGTCTATTCCCGATGAAACGCGGCTTGGGGTGATCTTTGCTGCTTTGAACTATATAGCTTATTTACTAGATACTACAATCTACAACATCGTTTAGGGTTCGAGGTACTAAGCCTATACAGGAAAGGCATAGAAAATACATACAACATACGTCAGATACAAGACATGACAGCGCCATATAAGTGGCCCCCCCAAAAACTCGTCGCCTATTCGTTGTTTCCTCACTTTCACTCCACTTCGCTCAGATCTCGATATCCACCATGGACCCACGCAATCAAGACAGCGGCGACTCCGGTAGCTCCACCATCTCACCGACCTTGCGTAAAGATATCAACCTTACGAACCGATTATCCGCCTTACTCGATGCTGCTCGCAATGAAGATCTCACGTCCGAGTTGCAAATACTTCCAACAGCAGAACCTCGTGAGGTGTTGAGCCGGGTTCTGTCGCTGAGTTCCGTTATCTCTACAGCCTCCTCATTCGCATTTTTCAACACTGTACAGCAGACATCTTCTGTTGGGCTTCGCAGTATTGGCTTTGGCCAATGTGGAATTGTCTTCGAGCGGCCCGGTCGTGCTTATGTCATAAAAATCGCCCGTCCGTCGTTCGAAAATGCCCTTTGGGTAGATTTTCAAGCCCACTTGGCAGTGTACCAGGCCTTCACAGACCAGCAGTCCGTTGAAGTACGGGTTCCCGAAATATTCTCATATGTCCCAAAAACGAACAAGCAATGGTGGGACTCGCATATTGATCTTTTTCACAGATCACATCTCTCTTTCCCTCTACCGGCAATGGCATTAATCACAGAACGAATACTGCCACTACCCAAACTTGCTCGACAGGCTCTGATAGATGCCTATTGTCCCGCATCGTCGCGACTCGCTGTAAGCTCTCACGAAACCAACCGTGATTGCTTGGCGCGTATCTATCTTGGCCGTCGCCGAGGTGCGAATGACCCGCCCTCGCGCAATTTTACCTTGAGGAACTTCAACTTGTGTTTGGATCAGATGATCGAGCTAAATCTCCCAATCCAGAACTACGCTAAAGCTATCGGGGAGGCTTTGGCAATTATGCATTGGTCGGCAAATGTGGATTGTTACGACATTGAATTTGTCCTAGGCAGCGAAGCAGAGACGACATACACCCAGAACATTTGTCGTTCGTTAGGACTTAGCGCAAAACAGGTTGCAACGATGCCTCCTCACTCAGACATTGACGGAATGATGCGTGTCAACTTTCGCCGCCGAACAACCCGTGTCTGGGTTCTCGACTTCAATTTGTGCAATCTATGGGAAGAAAGACTGGCACTGGAAAAGCCAGATGACTTGATAACTCATCTTGCGGCTGCGTTTTTTGAAAACGACCCGTACTACCCTCGCCCATCGGAAGATTCCGAACCCGAGAAGTCTCTCTGGTTCACGTTCAGCTCTTCATACCTAGATGTAGCAGCAAGGCTACTGTCAGTTGCAGGGAAGGATCCACGGCTCTTGTCGCTTCCCGGAAAGTTCATTGATGCTTGTGTGTCAGGGCAATCGGAGATTTTAGCGCAGCGCAATTGATGCCGGGGGGTTTGTTCCTCTATGAACAATTCAATGATCCAAACATGCCATAGCTGAATGAATTAAGCCTCTCACACCTGCAATTCAACTTTAGACATAGAAGTTTCTTGATTCTTGATAGTCAGATAAATAAGCTTAGAGTATCACTTATAGAAGAGTTTGCTCATTATATTGCAGACATTATAGACTGGGATCGCAGTTGCCCGATGAGTTCTTTCATATCAGTCTCGTCACTCGCTCTTTCCCACGAAGAATCAGAGCCTGCCTTGCCCTCAGCATGTGACAGAGTCGTTCCTTCCTCGTTCGTTCAAGTAAACAAAACCCCGACCTTCTCCTCCTCTTTTGTTTTCTTTTTCTGTTTCTCTCTCCACGCGCGTCAAAATGGAATATACGTGTGTAGAGTGCATCCAGAGTCTCACCCAAGGTCTCCGCTAATAAGGAAATATTCAGGACTACGAATAAGCGTGCCAGAGTTGATGAAGCTGAAGACCAAGACGACTACCCACGGTACAAGCGCCCGCACTTCTGTCAGGACGGCAGAGAGAGATCCTACCAGGAGACCTATCGCTCTCGCTGCGACCGTTGCGATAGAAGCCATATCGGGGCATGCACCGCGTTCTGCAGGAAGTGTGCAGAGATCGGCCACTCCTGGCGCCACTGCCGACTATTCGTCCCTGAGCACATCTGGCGAAGACGGTATCGTGGCTCACGTACAACACTCGAGAACTTCAACATCACCGTGCCTGTGATAAACCCTGCACCAGTTTGCACACCAACCTCCCTGAACGCTGCTATTCTCTACCAGCTAGATAAAGCCCTCAGTGGGCTCAATCGAAAGGCAGGCATTTCTACGCACTCGCGAATTTCAATCAACAACGTGAACATCACAACGAATATTCTCGCACCGGAACGAAAAGATCCTCCTCTTCTTCCAGATACCTCATTGATGGAGAGGGTTCAACGAATTCCGACAGGACAAAAACCGAATATTCCTAATATTCGTCCTACTGAGAAGCCCTCCTTTGCCCAGCCAGTCTTCGGTGGTTTGGCTTTTTCTCAGCCTGTCTTTGGTCAGACCGCATTTGCTCAGACCTTCATGTAGAATAACTTAGGAGACTACCTGGCCTTATGTGAAATGCTGCTTGTGCCAGGGAGAAATGATATGTATGTGTATCCTTTTGTATCGCCACTCTCCTGCTCTGAGCCGGCTTGAATGAATTAATGTTTGATTACTATCCTCACTTGAGTTATGTAAAAATAGATTTGTTTGAAGCAAACGAAAGTATACTGTCGCAGCATCCATCAGCATCATCTAGTTGGATTTAATATCCCTCAACTTGGTAACTTGCGCTATTTTCAAAGTCTGCACAGTGATCCCAGCTACTTCAATGCGACAATATCGCTTTCATCACCAGTTAGGGTTACGTAGATCGACGATAACACCCCTTCAGGTAGCGATCGGCCAATATACGCCACCAGAGCTCTCACCCCAGACACCTCCATAGACCCAACTCGCGCCCAAAAAAACATGTCTCCAATCTCCCTCAGCCTCCCAACAACTTATTCCAGCTCAGGAACCAAGAGCCCCCCACCAACCGACTTCCTAATCGGAACATGGCACGTAACCCACTCCAGCCTCCCGCTATGGAAAAACAAGCGCAACGTGAACATCACCTACACACTCCTCCCCACCTCCTCAACCGGAGTCCAAAAGATCAACGACCTAGTCCAATACCAATCCATCGACTCGGAGAAAATAAAATCCGTCCATGGCGTCGACACCCCGACGCCAGGTTTTCCCGGCGCCTGGGACTGGCGCGGCAAGGGCTGGCTGGTGATCGCGAGCTCGCACTGGGAGGTTCTCGGCTTCGGTCATGGCGATGATGGGAACGAGTGGGTTGTTACGTATTTTGCTAAGACGCTCTTCACGCCTGCGGGCGTTGATATTTACTCGAGGGATAAGGGGGGGTTGTCGCAGATTACTGTTGAGCAGATACTTGATGCGCTTAAGGGGTTTGAGGTTGGGGGTCTTACGGAGCTTGCTAATAGTGTCTTTCGGATTCCGCAGAATTAGGAGGTAAGCTGGTTAAGGCTGGTGTTTGTTTTTGTGTTTTTGGGGTTTGTTGGGAAGTACAGCGCTGCAACTTCGGAGATCAAACTGGAAATTGGTGTCTCTAGTGCCTGGATCTATCTTCATCGTCGCCTTTAGCCGTCTCACAATCTCTCCCGATTACCTGGCAGAGAAACATATGATGGTGACAACTCCCGTGGGCGGCCTTTGCCACAACGTCTAGAGCCTAGCGGAGACTCCCATATATCACAATCTGCGTGTGTGATGGCCCCAAGCGTCATCGGGATTATCCTTTATAGTGAGGATGTGCAATGACTTCTACTGAGGCGTTTGAGTTGAGGGTTAAACCGCTGTTGAGGCAAATTACACTCCCACGGAGAAGGAGCTACCAAGGCCAAGGCATGTTTGAATGATATTGACATCGTCCATATCTACACAGTCATCAACATGCTAGCATTCTTATACCAGCTCAGCAGCGGATTCTCCCCATTCCGCGTCTCCGTATCCTCAATGTAAGCCCAACGGTGCACGAACTCCTCATGACTCGTGACCTGCGTCAGCTTTCCCGTAATAGCACGGTACATATCCTCGACGACATTAAAGTCCGTCGGGAAGAAGATATCAAAGTAGCCTTGGTGGACCTGCGCAAATTAGCCAAATTCAAAGTTATATTAGAACTATCCACATACAAAAGGAGTCGACACCGGCACTGTCTGCCGCTGATATCGAGTCTGCACGACCGGCGCGTTGACCCCGGGCACGGCATCTGGCAAGGAATTGAAGTCACTAGAGACGAGACGGTGGGCTGGGAAGTACTGGTTCAGGACATCGAAGAACTGCATCAGTCGGGTGGGAATGTACTCCGGCAGGGAGTATTCCTTGTGGAAGGGCGCGGCGGAGCGGAGTCCGCGGAGAAGTGGTGGGCCCAAGGGACTTGGGAAAGGACGACGGGCGGCGGCTTGGCGCACGCGCAGGAAACGAGCTGCGACTGGGTCGAGCTGGTTGTTGTAATATTCGTGGAACTCGCCGTCGGCATCGATCAGCACACCGCCCTGTTGTGGCATTTCCGTGCCGAGCTTGTAGCGGATGGTGTCGTGGGCGAAGTTATCGAATACCTCCAGGGCGAGGAAGAAACACGGGGAATGGACGTATGTGTCCCAGTCGAAGATTGACCGGTTTATAATCTGGACCTTGTCCCGGTGTCCTTTGGCAGTGAGCTTGTCGGTCAAATTCTTGTACTGTAGATCTGCCAGCGCGGGCGAGATTTCAATAATCTTGAACTTGGTGCGCTGATACACCTCGTAGTCGGTGTCGCGGATGAAATCCAAAATGTTCAACATCATTGTGCCGTTTCCCGCGCCCATTTCGTAGATGATCAGGTCGTGGTACGGGTATAGGGTCAGCTTGTAGTTTGACACCAAATACCGCGCAATCGTCTCGCCGTAGTATGGTCGGAAGAGCTCGGTAGGTGTGTGCCACAGCTGCCGCGCGATATCTGGGTTCGTTGCATCAAGCTTGTCTTCAAACTCCGTGTACCGTTGGCCGAGGAGTTTGTGGAACGCGGGCCCGTCTTCGATGTTGTTGAAGTCGAATGGCTCTCCGGGGCTGAAAATGGTGGCGTGTTTGGAAAAGTATCCATAATGTGGGTTGTAGAGGCTGTCTACGGCTGTATCAGAACTAGTCACGCTTCACCGAGCTGTCGAACTCACCGTCGATGAACTCGCGTGTCAGCATTTTGACCTGCCGCGGCCGTTCGCGGCGGTTGCGTAGCTCCTTCGCCGTAACTGTCGGGTACTTCCTGTACTCCTCATCGATGTTCTTGGGGTAGTCTCCTCGCTTTGTCCAGAGCTGGATTTCTTCGTGCGGTTTGCGCTTCACGTTGACAGGGGTGCGTCGCGTAAGAAATGATCGAGACTGTGGTCGAGCAAGTACAGAAGGTGACCGCCTTATAGATCGACATGCTGGATGACGGAAGAGCTGTCGGAACAGCTGGGTAAGGACTGGCGAATCCATTGTGACTGCAGAGCTAAGCTCACGGTTGTTCCGGGGAACGGAAAGAACGGCTTCTGGATGACCGGAGCCACGTGCCTCAGGCGAAACCCATCACCTTCAATTTTCGAGACTTTGGACATTAAAATATTCGAACTGAATGCAATTTGAATACAAAGAACTCTTTGAATTAGCTTTCAATATTTCTTTCATCGAAGTACGGAGTATAGGCTGACTCCTGTCGTCCACCAAAAAGCCTGACGGTCCGAGCTTCATATCCTATGCACATAACCTCTATCAAGACATAACGGCATGGGAAGATGCCAGATCATTCAACGGCGTATATAGGCACGGCCTTCTTGACCGGTGTCTGCTTGGCACTCGCATATCAAGAACTGTCACGTCCCAGACATGAGGATAATGAGCCAGAACTAACATCCCCCAAAAATGGCACCCGAGCTGGCCCGCCCTCTATTGTGGAAGGCATTGAAGGTTGTATCGGAAACACCCCCCTATTCCGGATCAAGTCCCTATCAGATGAGACGGGATGTGAGATTCTGGGCAAGGCAGAGGTATGTGACTAGTACTTAGTATACCAACCACCCCAAAGAAGAGCTAAGAATACGCTAACAATGCCGCAGTTCCTGAATGGCGCTGGCCAGAGCTCAAAAGACCGAGTGGCACTAAGCATGATCGAGATTGTATGCTAAAATACGCAAAAACCAAAAAGTTTCCTGTACTAGACCAGCATCGCTGACCTCAACCAGGCCGAAGAACAAGGTCTTCTGACACCCCATTCAGGCGACACAATCTACGAAGGCACATCGGGATCGACCGGCATTTCCCTAGCAACACTAGCCCGGGCAAAAGGCTACCTAGCACACATGTACGTATGCGCCACCCTGGCATCACACCAATAGCAAAAAACACTAACGCCAATGCAACCCAGCTGCCTGCCGTCCGACCAGGCAATTGAAAAATCCAACCTCCTGCTGAAACTCGGGGCAATCGTGGACCGGGTTCCGCCAGCGCCAATAGTGGAGAAAGACAACTTTGTCAATCGCGCACGAGCACTAGCAAAGACGCACACGGCCTCATCGGGAACCCCCTCTGCATCATCTGCATCAGCGGAAGGGCAATCCGATCCCCCCGCGGGACACGAGCCCATGACCCGTGGCCGTGGATTTTTCGCCGATCAATTCGAGAACGAGGCTAACTGGCGCGCCCACTACGAAGGGACCGGCCCAGAGCTGTACGCTCAGTGCGGTGGCCGGCTCGATGCGTTTGTAGCGGGCGCCGGAACAGGCGGCACCATTTCTGGCGTGGCCAGGTTCCTAAAGCCCTTGCTGCCTAACCTTAATGTCGTGCTGGCTGACCCGCAGGGAAGTGGGCTTTTCAACCGAGTGGTCTACGGCGTTATGTTTGATGTTAAGGAGCGGGAGGGGACGCGGCGGCGTCCGCAGGTTGATACTATCGTTGAAGGTATTGGCATTAACCGGGTCACGGCGAACTTCGAGGCGGGGAAGGAGATGATTGATGATGCGGTGCGGGTTACTGATGCACAGGCTTTGGCCATGGCGCGGTGGCTTGTGGAGAAGGATGGGATCTTTATTGGGAGCAGCAGTGCAGTGAATTGTGGGTTGAATCCCTCTTTGCCTAGCGCACATGTGTTTTACTTATGGTGCTTTATAGGTGTTGCCGCTGTCAAGACAGCGAGGAGGCTTGGCCCTGGTCATCGGATTGTGACGGTCCTTTCGGACTCTGGTTCACGGCATCTGTCTAAATTCTGGGCCAAGGCTGGTGATGTTGGTGGGGCGGTTGATACGAAGCTTGAGGATGTTATGAATGCACAGGACGAAGACTTTCATTAGATATAGATTGAATGGTATGGTAGTCATGTTATGAATACGTGTGGATAGATTATCGATTGTCAATCACTGGCCGCTTCAGATCCCGGCTCATTATTTATCTCGTCTTGCATTTCTTCCGGCTGCAGCTCTGCCGGCTGCTCTTCCGGCTCCGCCTGTTCCTCCATGTTCCCTACCATGGCAGAGGTAAATCCCTCACCAACAAAAGCACGTAGCAGCTCAAACTCGACCTCATGTCGGGATCGCCCCTTGAAGCGACTTTGTATCTGACCCCAGGTAAGACCCGATTGGGTGCTGAGTCGGGACAGGGATACCAGCTCAGGCTGCGACCAGGCAGCGGAAAGGGGAGGCGGATTGGCAAGACGCCGGGTCCAGTGATTGTAGAACCAGTGCCAGACTGTCGGGTATTCGCGACCTGGCAACATATGCATTACGTCGCTGGCTTTCTTTTCTTGTTTGTGCATCATGCACACGATCAACTTTGCTTCGTCCGGTGTGATGGGCTGCCTTTTGCTTGGGGTGTTTTCGGGCTGCGGGGATGAGGCCTGGATGCTAGCTGTGGTCTTGGGGGTTGAATTGTGTACCATAGGATTAAATGGCAGTTCGTTATATTCTGATCCAGATGTTTCGTTTTGGTCATTTGGTTCACATCCTCCTTGCAGCTGTTCTTCGGTGACGTCGTTTTCTTCATCATTTGGTTCGTAGCCTCGTAGCTGTTCTTCGGGCACTCCGTCTTCTTGGTGGCTCGGTTCGCAGCCCTCTTCTTCAGGGCATACTTCAGGCACCTCGTCTACCTGAATGCTCGGTTCCTCTTCTTCAGGGCATGCTTCAGGCAAGTTCGGAAGACCACTTTCTATCTTAATAGGGGTTACGTCCCAGCGACGTATTGACTTCTCAGGGGGCCCATTCTGAAAGGTTGATGGCACACAGAGCTTACCATTCGAAAGACCCGGGGTTGGCGACGAAGAATTGTCATTCGATAATGTCTCACGCAGACATGTATCCGGAACTTTCGGTATCACAGTACATCTCTTCGCTTGAGAGTTCTCTTTCTCATCCATCCATCTCTTCAGGGTTATATAAGTTCGGCTTCGACCAAAATTAGCGCGATATTCTCTGACGAATCTCGATTGGTTCCATTTTTCGTGTAAATGAGCTTTCATCCACGTAGCAGCCACCGATCTCTCTTGATGGTCGGACATGTGATCGGACCTTCGCGGCATTTTCCGTGCTTCGGATACATTGATCGATTGCCGCACTTCATCTACCTGATTGCTCGACTCACAGCCCCCTTCTTCGAGATGTGCATCAGGAACTTCATCGCCATGATCACTTGGTTCGCAGCCCCCTTCTTCAAGATGTGCGTCAGACACCTCATCGTCAAGGCCACTTAATCCACACCCCCTTCTTGGCGATCACCTCGCTCAACTTCAATAACAACAGTCGGCCGCTTCGAAGGAGTAGAAGGACCATCATTAACCTTAGTCGGAACGCGACGCTTCCCACGAATGATTTTAACCTTCGATGGCGTCGGCGATGGCTCATAGTCCTGCAACGGGTCATCGGACTCATTCCCATCTGGCACTTCCGCGAAAGACCAGTCGCGCGTGACAGGGCTGGAATGGTACTTGCGCTTCGCGGCTGGCCGACGCTTGCTGGGCGTGGCCTTGGGTTTCGTTTCTGTGCGTGGCTTGCGGGGTTTACGCACAGCCCAGATCGAGCCGCTCCCTGGCGGGGATGGGGATCTGGCTGTGGCAGTGGCAGTGGCAGGTGAAAAGAAGCCCGCGTTTGTTTTGCGGGTTTCGGTGGTGGGTGTTGAGAAGGATGCAGGTAGATCTGGGACTGCCCAGATTGGATCTTGTGGTTTGGAAGGTAGGATAGGGTTGGTCGGATGGGAGGCTTGTTCTTCCTTGGTTGTAGGACTGTGCCCTGCAGTCCCAGATGATTTAAACGTAAACACGAAATCTAGAGAGGTATCCATGTCTGTCTGTAGCTGTTTCGATGGCGACTCTTCGCGTGGAGCCGAAGAACGACCAGGAGAAGATGCCATAGAAAAGAATTCATCTTCCTCTCCCTTTGCGGTGTCATCGTCTGCATCAGGGTCCTCTAGGTCACCCTGGGAGAGCCACGATCGCGGCTGGCCGGCGTCGTGCTCGCTCCGCATACCTAGGAGATGTCCATTGTCTACCACTATATCCCCGGTCTGCAGGTCAATCTCATCACCGACGTCCGTGAAGTCCTTGCTATATTTCGCGAAAATGTGTTCGAAGAGAGACTTCAGTCGCGAGTCATTCTGTGCGCGTGCAGCCGGGAGATCGAATTCTGCAGGAACCTCGTCGTCCTCGGTTGGGGTATATGATAAACATGGTCGCTTCGCTGGTCGTTCCATATCGTCCTGCATGGAGTGGTCCATGCTGTCCGGGTTCATGGTCGCGGAGAAGGATCGATAGATGCATTAGAAGTGATCGAACATTGAACGCGTAGTAAAATAACACATAATTAAAATTGGCATCCGTTGATAGTAGAGTAGAATGTGGTGTGCAAGCGCAAGCGCGAGCAAATATGCAAAGGAACAAATGACGTTCGCCGAAGCTCCTTGAGCTCCCCCGACTTCACTCCCCACACCGAAATGAACAACAACCACCATGTATTGCCAGAAGTGTCGCACGCCGCTGAAGCTGGATGGCTCGGTAGAGTCACTCAACCCAGCTGCCTTTGACTTGTTATCTAGTAAGTTAATCCCCCAGGCGATCGTTGATCCCGCTAATCGGTCTAGACTCTACAGGCAAGACGTTGTCGGATACCGGAGCTGTCTCCTCGTCAGCGCGATCGTCGTATCCGCACGAACGCCGCGATAAGTACGACCAGTCCTCTAAACATGCTACGTCGCCGGTCTACAGACGGTCTATCCCTGCGCCGCGGGCAGGCCAGCCCAACCCAGTACCCCGGGCGGATAGCGGCAATATGTCATTCGTGATGCTCACGGAGTCCCAAGTTGCGCCACCACCGGTCAGTGAGAGTGGAAGCAAGCGAAATACACAGGCCCAGCTGCATGACCAGGATGGACCGCTCGTTGATCAAGTGGAGAAAACGACACGGCTGTTTGAGATCGTCTCGGCGCGCTCCGATATCGACCATCCTATTTGCGTGGAATGCACCGAGCTGCTTGTGGAAGGATTACAAAAACGCTTGGCGGGGTCTACGAAGGAGCGAGACGCCTACATCTCATTTCTCAGGAACCTGAACGCGTCGATCCCGACCGAGGAGGAGCTGCAGGCGGCACAGAAATCGTTGAATGAAAGCCTCGACGCGGAACGAGCCGCCTTCGCTGAGCTGCAGGCCTTTGAGAAAGAAAAGGCTGCTCTAGATGCGGAGATTGCCAGCTTGGAAATCGAATCGCGCCGCCTCGATGCGGACGAGGAGAGCTTCTGGCGGTCGCGCAATGCATTTGCGTTGACGCTAACCGAGTTTCAAAACGAACGGGATGCGCTCAATATGCGGTATGATCATGACTCCCAGCAGCTGGAGCGACTGCAACGGACGAATGTCTACAATGACGCGTTCTGCATTGGTCATGATGGATATTTCGGTACTATCAATGGACTACGTCTGGGCCGGCTGGCCAATCCTTCGGTTGACTGGCCTGAGATTAACGCTGCATGGGGTCAAACGGCTCTCCTTCTGGCCACGATGGCCGATAAGCTGGGGTTCCAATTCCAGGGGTATCGGCTCAAGCCGCTGGGGTCTAACTCACGGATTGACAAGATCGAATATCCCACGCAGCCATCCGGCCAGCCGGTCGAGGGCGCTGCACCCAAGGTGACCCAATTAGACCTGTTCTCGTCGGGCGATCTCCCGCTCAACCTTCCTTGGCTTCACCGTCGCTTTGACTCGGGCATGGTGGCGTTCCTTGAGTGTCTGCGACAGCTGGGGAAGTTTGTGGAAAAGACCCCTGCACCGGTTGTATCTCCCCGGCGCGGCCAGACCGGCGCCACCGCACCGGGATTAAAACTGCCCTATGAGATCAAGCGGGATCGGATTGGGGATGCCAGCATCAAGTTGGGCTTCAACCAGAATGACGAGACGTGGACTCGGGCCTGCAAGTATACGCTGACTTGCTGCAAGTTCCTCCTTGCGCATGCCAGCAATCTGGCTAGCACGGGGTCCAACTCAGCAGCCGTCGCGGCTGCAGCCGTTGCAGCCGCGGATCAAGCCCGACAGACCAAGAATAAACCATGAACACATGAAACTTTCTAAAAGCAAGGATCAAATGTCAATGCGGGAAATCGAAAATCGAAAATCGAAAATCGAAAATCAAAATCGAAATCGAAAATCGCGCAGAGCATGAAATTAAAGACTGCCCAGCGCATCACTCTCGTACTTTGTGTATGCATGTACATGATAGGGGATGGCCATGACGTGCCACTGGGTGTTTCAACCAACGCCTGTCCCCACCGTTTCATTGGCCTGTCACAAACTACTGGACTCGGCCCAACCAAAACCCCCCTGACAGATGTTACCAGCGCGTGGGCCAACAACCCCCCACTCCTCTCAATCCCTTCCCCGTCTCGTCTGCGGATGAGAGAGCTGCGTCCGACATGCAGTGCCCTTCCGGTCTGCGCCGTCCATCCTATGTAGTACCTGCATGCGATCCGAGCCGGTGAACGGTGGTCCGTGGACCTATGAGCGTGGCCGCGGCAGATATCTCCGGATACAGGCGGCTCGGAGTGGAGGGGCTCCACGCGGGATGGCCGTTGTGTTCCCCTCAGGAAAGCGCGGTTGTTTTTAATCTGTGCTGAGTGTATGTTGTATGCATTTAGTTAGTTATATTGTTTATCTTGTTTATAGGAGAGACCAAAGTACACCCCGCACTTTAATAACGATCATGTCCATTTAGGGGTTAGCGAATAGCTTGGAGGCCCAATGCAGGAGGAGTTCCATTTCTTTTCTTTTCTTTTTGCTTCAAGTACGGAGAGTCGGCGTATCTTCAATTCATTGTTCTCCCCTATCCCCTATGAAATCTAATTTGTCAGGAGGTACCCAACTAGCCACGTTTTATTCAAGAATCCAAGCTCAAAGCAAAGATCCCTTTCATCCCCTATCCCTCTCGGGGACTAGTATTCCAGCTCCCCGAAAGCCCAGAAACGAAACCCTGTAGATCAGTGCAGCATCCATCGACCTGAGTGATTCCAGCTGACACTAGTCCCTGGGAGATGCTGATTCTAGCCCTTGGGATATGGGCCACGCGTGCAGGTGATAGCGGGGCAAGTGCAGTGCACCGTTGTAGATGAGCGTAGGATTGAATTACCAATTTACCCCTGCTAGGTAGGGTGTGACTTCTACCTAAGCTCGTACTACGTGTTCAACGGAGGGATACAGCATATAAACTATATTCTATAGATCAGAGTTCTGTACTTCTGTCGGGAGGAAGTACGGAGTACGGAGTATTCCGTAGTAAATAATATATTATATTATAAGATAATATTATAATAACTAAAATAAAAAGGGTAACTAAGTAGCACGGACCTTGCATCGTACGTTTTTAATAACAGTCTCGGCCGCGAAGGTTTATAATTAACAATTTAGCCTATAAATACATACAACATACATATACAGCACTTGGGGAGATTGGTCGGACAGGGTAACCTTGTCCAGAGCCCAAAGCGCAGTGAGTTCCCCTCTCGTGGTGGATGTAAACGGGTTTAACGGTTTCCTCCTTTGAGATTGGCACGTTATACTCCGTAGGTATGGTCATATTGAGATATATTATTGTATTATATTATAGTATACTATACTATACTAACTATACACTATATTACTCCCATTATGTGGCTGATTGATCCACGGCCCTGGGATTTTAGGATTTTAGACTCGGGGGAAGACAAAGACCTGTCAGGGAAGATTCGGCCCGCTCCCGGCGGTGTTTTGGATCTGCAGGTAATCTTTGTATTAGGTATTATACCGTAGTAATAGGGGTAGATGGGGACTATCGGCGTATTACCTGCGTACTCCATACCGAGGGCTCCGTAAAAGAAATGAAAAAACGAAAAAGGCAACGGAAAATGCATCCATTTGCGGCCAGTGCACTGCATGTAATAGTTCGCTTAGGCGTAAAGGCCAAAGTACAGCTCCACTCGAGGTCTCCAGCTATATTAATTCGAAATACATGGAATAAATACATTGAAATACATCTTTATTCCATTAATTCCATAAACAAAACAAAGAAGACTCCTACCACTTAAAGACCAAAACCCGGAGATATTCACCCCCAAGTTGCTGCCGGGGGACATGGCTGGTCATAGCTGGGTCATAGCTGGGTGTGGGTCTTGGCTCCTGTAATGTGATTGGCCCGGGGAACCAGGGGATCGTGCGTCCGCGTGCACGTCGCCCCAAAGAGAACTCGTTGGCTTGGATCTCTTTCCTCTTTGCTCTTTTGGGGCTTTGGGGGGTTTGGCGATTTGCGGATTGGGATTTTACGGATTTTACGGATTTCTAGGGGGACGGTTATTTTGTTTTGCATTTATTACATGATTTGCATTCCAGTTATATTATAACCCGACCTCGCATCTTCATCGATACCTATGCCTAAACATATGCCTAAACATATGCCCTAATTTCTAACCTTCACCATGGACAATAATTACGCAACCCCCATCTCCCCTCAATCGCCAAACGTCTTTCGGCCCCGCCGTTCCGATGACTGGCATGAATATCGTGAAATCATCGAGCAACTCTACCGGAACGACCAGTTGAAACTGCGCGATGTGAAACGGATTATGGAGAGAGATTATAAGTTCTTTGCATCGTAATACACCCTTCTCTTCTATCTTCATATTGAATAGATCTAACTCGCTCTAGAGAAAAACAATACAAAGATCGTCTGGCCGCATGGCACGTTCGAAAGAACATCAAAGCCAAAGAAGTCCATCTTATGCTCCGCAAGCAACAGAAGCGCGCCGCCCAAGGCAAACAGACGGCCTTCCGCGTCAACGGCCAGAACGTCGATCCAAAGCGCATCGCCCGCTTCGTGCGTCGCTATGGAACAACGTGGGATACCAACCGAGGCAAGGACCAAAAGGCCGAGTCAAGCCCTGAGCCTCGTGAGTGAATCAATCCAAATTGATATATATATACACACCTAATACCAATAGAAACCCCCTCCGACATGACCTGCTACACCCCAGAGCCAACAGACGAACACAGCGCCACAACCCCCATCTCACCCCCCGACATGCAATCCCCAACCCGAGAAATGCCCTCCTACCCACTCGGCTCATACGGTAAATCCACAGCCGTTCCGGTGAGTGTGAGTGTACCGCATGATATTGATGGCAGATATCTCGCTCTAGACCCAAACCACCTTGAAAGCCTCCCCGATCTGGAACTGGAAGAAAGCCCGACCATGCCGCTGTCCATGCACCCAAACCA